ACAATATTTGTCATGACAACATCAATAAAACACATGTCCTGACATTCACCATTGGATAATCTACTGTTTACCACACCAATGGCAATAAACACAGAAACACCCCAACTAACAGTAATCATGATGAAGACAACACGACCATTGATTTTAGATTTATATGTTAAAGGCTGACACACTGCCTGATATCTGTCCACAGAAATGCAGCACAGGTGCAGGATAGAGCATTGGCTGAATAATATATCAAAGCTGTCCCTTATCTTACAAAATAAACTGACATTATACATACAGGCACTGAGAGAATAAAACATCCTGAGAGGGAAAACAAACATGCCAACCAACAGGTCAGCCACAGCCAGGGACAGAATGAGAGTGTTAGTAGGAGTGTGCATCTGTTTAAAGTAAATGACAGACAGTATTACAAGGAAGTTTCCACACACCGTGACAAGAGACAAGAGAGTTAGGAAACCATATAATATTACACATAGAGGTGGATAAGAGGTGCTTGGTTTATAATTCAAATGTTTCATCTCAAAACAGCCATTGAATTCAGTCAAAGTCTCATTCATGTTGATGCTAGCATCTGTTGTCATGATGAGCAATTTACATTAACACAATATATTAGAGATTCCTTAGATACAGAATGAGCGATGTTACTTGCTTGCTTTAGTTATTGGGTGTCCTAGGCTACATCCACCTTTTGGGTATTGGTATTGTTTTATGTTCTCATCAACCTCTTAAGGGATTTACAAAATCCATCCATTAGAAAGTCGGGAAGTTTATTCTAACTTACAGGATGGATATTGTGATACAACAATCTGCAGTTAATGCCATCAAGGAACAGCTTCTGTCAAATCAGGGTGTTTAAGATTGTTTACCAAACTCTGAAACTTAACCACTCCTACTCTTATTCAAATAAGCGATTCATTAAAATTGATCTGTTTTGAAGAACTTTTTTAATTAATTCCTCTGTGCTTCAACTAACCGTTCTCTACTACACAATAAAATCTAATAAGCTGACCTTACTTATAAAAAAAATGGAAACTGATTGCTTGAAAGATATAAGTGAAAATAATAAGTACATTTATGTTTGTTAACCTAAAATATACATGTTAATTAAACTCAAAACCTTTTTGAATGAAACTGTTGTGCAAATTTACCAGAAGATTATGAATATATCAAATGAATAGAACTGGAGGTCATAGTTAATTAAAAGGTTATTCAAATCAAGGGTAATAAAAAATAAAAATTAATTATTGTCAGCTGAATGGTTATAATTGTAATTTTTGTACTGAAATACTAAATAACTGAATTACTTTCTTTCTGGGTTCTTAGTCTCTTACATAAAAGGTTGGATTCCTGAATCCAGCTGTCTAAAATCCAGTTACCTCCACCAAATTAATAATTTTGTCATGATCTTGGCACTGATGACTGGCTTGATTATTCATTTCATTCACCTGCCTAATTCGACCCACTTTATCATTAC